ATATATATGTATATATATGTGTGTATGTGTGTGTGTGTACATATATATAAATACCTATATATATATATATGTATATATATATGTGTGTGTGTGTGTGTGTGTGTGTGTACCTGTAGACGAAAACATACCTTTCATGCGCCCTAGATATCTGCTTAATGATAGCCTCGGGTTTCTCGCATTTGAACAGCCCCTCCATATCATTCGTCAGTCCCTCAGTCACATGATGTACGCTTACAGGCGAGTCGAACACCAAGTTGTGCTTTTCCTGCTCCGGTATTTTTTTGTCTATTACACACTTAGCTAAAACTTCAGGGGAGGCGGCTGTCTTTACTTGTTGTCGAAGTTCAGTAAGGTGTCGAGACGCTCTAGGTGACATGCGCACGTGTTTGACCCCCTTGCGTTTGAGCTGAGATGGCCTACGTGAGCTTTGTGTTGATGCTGGGGACGCTGTGGTGAAGAGACTTGCTGAGAACCATGACGCTGATTGTGTGTTGTGAAGAACCGTCTGCCTCTGATTTTGGGCAAATAGTACCCTTGTTGATGCAGGTTGCATAGTGTGTGCAAATCTGCACGCGTGTGTGGCAAGTACCTTCATTATGCCTTCTAACTAAACGTATAAGTGTATATGGTGTGGTTATGATTTACATCCACATATCTCTGTATGTTGTCTGCGTGTGTGTGATACTTTCACTTCTAGCCAATCAGTAGAATCCATACGATTATACAAATTCTCGCATATGCTACTGAAGTAGTCTACCGCACTTTAGCAGACCTTATAGAGATACGAACAACAATACTACTAACTATCCGTATACCATATATATTTGAATATTATATTGTATCAAGTTATACCCTGCGTGTTTATTTACACTCTATTTCTTAGAAATTAATTTTTAATATAGACAACAACCCAACCAACGAGGAAGCATTGTATGTCGTATGTATGGTGCTATAATAAAATACATGGCGGAGTGTTATACATAAAACAAAAGTTCGGTCCTTGCATAATTTGGCGGCATTGCGCGAGGGATTACACAAAAAAAATAGTTTTTCGGCATTTTATACCTCGTCCCGATTTAAGAAGTTTGCGGCAAAGCATGACATCGCTATTTATTCCTTTTTGGCACTTTTCAAATTTTCTCTCATGCTCAAAACGTAAAGTAAATACAGAATAAACGTATACTACGTTTTCACGTTTACGCTTTTAAAAAAATATAGACGTAAGTATGTGCTGTGTAAGTGATAAACTCGTAAATAGACGTACGATCGAGGCGTAAACGTACTATGTTTGTATGTATTGTGAGAACCGCGATATTTCTTTATTAAAAGATAGAAACTAAAAGACATCAACAGCGGCTGCTTCTCACACGCGCGAGAGTGCACTCCATGTGCGGGACTCTGGATCCGGGAGACATTGCCAAAACAAAAATCCCAAAACGCAAGATGTGCTTGTGAGTATAAAAACACAGCCGCTCACTTATTTAACCTCCACGCTTACACTTTAAGGTGTGAGTGTCCACTGGTAGACTTTTTTTTTGGCAGAGTGTATGAAATCGACCGTAGGAGAGCGAGGAGGGGACTGATGACTTGACCTTAAGATTGGTAAACGTGCTCAAGTGTCGAGGCTAAGAAACTACGACACTATCAAGTAGATTGTACACGGATACTGTTGGTCGTTGCCCTCTGCCGCATGTACCGATATCTTCTGTGTAGCTTAGGGCCAGTTTCGTATCAACCAATACGAAACGACTGCAAGGCTATGAAGAGATAGCTATTCTGGTGGATCTACTAGCTCTTTGCGGACGTGCCAAATAATTCCGTATGACATGAGTGTGTTGTTCAAGGTCAATTACATAATTGATTGGCTCGAACAGCATTTTAAACGATGCATGACAGGAGTAAGTGATGGCGTTACCTAAGCTCGAAGGCTGGTTCAATAGGTGTGAGCTATTGCTGCAGTGTAGCTCGGGTACTACCTGGTGTGGCTATCTTAACTGACCACGCTATAGTACTGAAAAGGATGAGATCACATCTGTCTTGAGGATCAGTCACGTTTTGAATACTTTGACAGAATCCGATTTTCAGCCGAAGGTCTTGCTTTTATACATTTGCAGAGGGAGAAGAATTTCAGGTTGCACACGCTTCTAAATTCGCATAACCCCACTCACACTCAAAACCATACCACACACCAGAGATGATACTGTCTATTCTATGACAGGTATAGAGTTTGGCGAGATTGAATAAGAGTCACCTTAACGGTTACAATTCAAATTGTAGCGGTTAAGGTAACCTTTGTTCAGTCTGGCCAAACACTGTGCAGTGCCTTACTAAATCGCTGGTGTCTTGAACGGTTGGTCAAACTTGACGTATTGACGTAACCCAACGACAGCTAGATTAATTAAAGAAATCAAGTTCGATAGCAAAAGAGTTGGGTGACCGTGAACAATTTTGAGGCAGAACAAATTTTGAAAAGTGAACCTTTACATACCAGAGATGATACTGTCTAATTTATGACATGTATAGATTTTAGCGAGATTGAATAAGAGTTACCTTAATGGTTACAATTCTAATTGTAGCGGTTAAGGCAACCTTTCTGAATCGCTGTTGTCTCGAACGGTTGGTCAAACTTGTCTTATTGATATAACCTAGCGGCAGATAAATCAAATAAAGAAATTAAGGTCGATAGCAAAAGAGGTGGTGACCGTGAACAATTTTGGGGTTTTCTATGTCTAGAATCCGCTAACTGTAGTCTTCTAAACCGTATAAGAGTAGCTGTTTGGTGTACAAACGTATAAAAAAAACCAGCCAATACTGCTGGTGTCATTGGTATCAGCTGGCGGTTCTCCCGTTCTGTCATGTATTGCTTATCTGTGGAAATGCTTTTTTTCTTGAGATAGCGCCGCTTGTGTTTATTGTGTACGTGATTGATTCATTAGATGTGGACTTAAGTACCTAAAGAATCTTTAAGATGAATACTTCTTAATTTTGTCGACATCGATTGTATTTATTTATTACATATTTAGTTTGTATGTATGTACATCTTCAATTTGATTACGTCATTGGGGAAGTGGGAATGTTATGTGGAAAATATATATTAATTTATTTAAGTTGATTTCAGGCTGATAATTTACATATAAACAATTATAAAATAAATACCGGCTGTATAGTGTATACACATATCTTGACACAAATACTGCCTGATATTATACATATTCAGACATTGCAATAGTTATCACATATACCTGAGCACATATATACCAGTACATATATAATTGAACCTTTATTTTAGGGGTTAGTATTAGTTCGTCCCAGTATGAATGAACCAACCAGCATGGAGCTAGACGACGTGACCGGCAACTTGGATGTCTCTGTCAACGCGTGCAGCGAGTCTTACTTGAAGAACCTTCTGTATCCCTGTGTTCCGCACGATGTGAGTTGTTTATGTTACAAATTCAACGTTATATATTTACAGCTGTATATAGATGTGTGAGAATAAATATGTATGAGAATGGATCCAATGTTATGTATATAT